TTATTTATAATATTTCAGTTCAGATAATCATGTTTCAAGTACTCATTACACATGTGCCTAGCGGCTACCCTGTGGCACAGGGAAAGTCTAGATTGCCCTGTTTGTTGAGAAAGTAATGACAGAGGGGAGGGGATAACTAGAAGGGGCATGTGAAACTTCGCTAATCCTTTGCAGTCTAAAACAGTCACAAAACCCTTTTCCAATGCAGCTTATTCATTTCTTAAAAATGAAATGTTCTACATAATTCAAAAATATGTATAAATAAAACACTTGTACCCTCCACTCTGCTTAAAAAATAGTATATTCTGTGTCCTGTACGCCCTCCTCAGCTGTGTTCCTAGATTTATGTTTTTTTCTTCTTTTTTCTCCTGCAGGTTTTGGTAAAAATAGTCTGAGCCGTAGAGGAAGAGTAATGCCTGGAAAGAGACGTCCTTATGGAGTTATCACTGGCCTTGCAGCTAGAAAATCAACTGGAGTTCGAAAAGGAATTAGTCCTATGAACCGACCACCTCTGAGTGACAAGGTAGGATGATGGCTTAATCCTGGGTCAGACCTTTTTTCTGTTTCTGCGAATGAGCTTGAAAGAGCATTTTATTGATTAATTTTATTTTATGTAGTACTTTTATGGCTTACATAAAAATTTTAATAAATAAAAAAATCGTTGTCATTTATGAGGAATACCTAAAACCCCACATTCTCAAATATAAAAATTTTTCTATAGATGTTTAGCTTTCCGTGTGTGTGTTTATTAACAGCTTTACTGAGGTGTAATTTACATACCATAAAATTTACTTGTCTTGAATTGTACAATTCAATGAATTTTTATAAATGTACAGAGTTGTGCAGTCATCACCACAATCTAATTTTAGAATATAATTCTGTCATCCCAGAAAGAAACCTCATGCCCATACACTGTCACATCCCATTTCCTGTCCCATACAACCACTATTCGGCTTTTTATCTGGAATCATACAATTTTATGTGGTCTGGCATTCAGCATAATGTTTTTGAGGTTCGTCTATCTTATAGCATGTGTCAGTACTTTGTTCTTTTTATTGCTGAATAATAGACCATTATATGGATATACCATATTTTGTTTATCCATCCACCAGTTGATGGATATTTGGGCTGTTTCTACTTTTTGAATATTATGAATAATATTGCTATGAACATTCACCTACAAGTCTGTGTGGTTTTCATTTCTGTTGGATGATTACCTATCCCTTAGTTGATATTTTTAGAGTTATAATTATTCTGCCCCCCTAAGTTAATCTCTTTTCAACTTTTAATTGGTTTTGTTTACATTTCAGTGAGTAATTTTTGAATTAGCTGAATCATTCTGTGAAATAGTTTCACAAATGGTTTGCCTTCTATTTTTTAAGTTTAGTAGGTCTGAGCCACCAGTGTTCTATTTTTTAATCCCTTTGCATTTAATGTTCTACTCTTCTATTTTTTTAATCTCCTTGATTTCTCTGATTATGAAAATAACACATGCTTGTTATAAAATAATTGGGACGTTCATTCCTTAAATTGTCTTAAACTTATTCTGGCTAAGAGCCATAACTTAGCCAGATACCTTTACTTTTCATTTCTGCCACCACCAATAGCTGCCTCACAGAAGTTACTATTATTCAGAGATTAGAAAACATTAATGAGATGTTAGATGCTGGAAGGGAGACTAGGCTTACCTGCTGACTAATGACTTGTTCCTATAAAAACTGTAAATTACTACATGTGGTAGTCTTTTGAGTTGTTTGAAAATAGTTAAAAATGTTAAATCATAGAATGTTAAGAATGTTCTGAATATTAACTGCCACATCTTTCTCTCCAGGAGCAGCTGGTGGGCTTGAACTGCCAACCTTTCGGTTAGCAGCCAAGTGCTTAACCCTCTTCCACCAGGGCTCCTTTTTAGAATGTACTGAACATTGAGATCTCATTTATTCATATTCTATAAGTTTGATGATTTTGACAGGATATGGTTTGAGATTTACTATTTCTTAAAAACCTTTTCTTCAACTTGAATTCAGATTTGATAGTCTGAGTAGGATAGAATGTGGTGCTTGTGAAACATTACTTTTCAGAAATCTAGAAAACTTCCGCTTATATGTAAATAACTCATACCATCGTTTTCTATTCATTAAAGCAAGGGACCTAAGTAACTTAATTGGGTTTGAGTCGCAGTATGTACTTGAATATTCTGAGCGTAATTAGACTTTCTATTCTTTCTTTCCAAGTTTATATGAATTCGTGAGATTTTATTTCAATTTTCTGACCTATGGAGTAAATGCCTAAATAGGAAAAGATACTGCACTCATTTACATTACTAGTGTTTATTGGGGGAGTAAATGATCTGTCAACTACAAGTTGTGTTTAAGTTTTCCTAAGGGATTCTTCTACTGGAATGTATAACTTTTTCAATGTCAAGTCTGTAACTTTTCCCTTTTACATTCAGAATTTTCCCAATCTAGGAGAATGTTTTGTGCTATCGAACTTTTAACTTGACTCTGATAATACTAAGCCATTTAGTACTTCTGTAAACTTCAAAATTGTTCTTGCTGCATATATATAGCAGTTATTTTCTATTAACCGGCAGATAGTTTTCAATCATTTGTCTGATTTTGACAGTTAAAAATAAATACCTTATGCAGATATTCTGAAAATATTATTCTTAACAGTAAAAGGAACAAAGCATTAACACATGTGATAGCATGGATAAGTTTGAAAACACTATGATAAACTAAAAAAGCCACACAAAAGACTTAATGTACTGTTTGATTTCATTTATATGAAATTGTAGAAAGACTATAGTGACAGATCAGTGATTGCCTGGGGTAAAAGTCGGGAAGGGAGGGAATTGACTGCAAGGGGGCAAGATGAAACACTGGAGGGCAAGGGTATATAATTACTAAATTCATCAAACTGTACATTTAAAATTTTATTGTATGTAAATACTACTTTTATAGGAATAACATGAATAAGTGATTTAATTTCTTTTCCTGAAGGAATAATTTTTTATATCAAAATTATAGTTAAGCAGAAACTTATTCCTAGGGACTATGGTCTTGGGGAACATTAGCTCAATTGGCATAACATAGTTTGTAAAGAAAATGTTCTACATTCTAGTTTGGTGAGTAGCGTCTGGTCTTAAAAGCTTGTGAGCCACCATCTAAGATACTCTATTCGTCTCACCCTGTCTGGTGCAAGGAAGAATGAAGAAAACCAAAGACACAAGGGAAAGATTAGTCCAAAGGACTAATGGAGCACAACTACCACAGCTTCCACCAAACTTAGTCAGGCACAACTATATGGTGCCTAGCTACCACCACTGAGTGCTCTGACAGGGATCACAATCGAGGGTCCTGGACAGCTAGAGAAAAATGTAGAACAAAATTCTAACTTAACGAGAAAAGACCAGACTTACTGGCCTGACAGAGACTGGAGAAATGCTGAGAGTATGGCCCTGGACCCTTTTAGCTCAGTAATGAAGTCACTCCTGAGGTTCACCCTTCAGCCAAAGATTAGACAGGCTCATAAAACATAAATGAGACTAAAGGGGCATACCAGCCCAGGGGCAAGGACTAGAAGGCAGGAGGGGACAGGAAAGCTGGTGATTGGGAACCCAGGGTCTTGAAGGCAGAGTGTTGACATGTTGTGGGGTTGGTAACCAATGTCACAAAACAATATGGGTACTAACTGTTTAATAAGAAGCCAGTTTGTTCTGTAAATCTCCATCTAAAGTACAATAAAAAAAAACTTATCCCTTGATACACTTTTATTTTAACACACACATTCATGCACATATATAAGCATTAGATCCATGAAACAGACATTCACCATACATTAATGGATTGTAATAGTTTTATTTCATGTATTAATTCACTTAGCAAATGTTAACTGAGCACCCACTACATACCAGGTGCAAGGAATTATGCAATGAACCCAATAGAAAACTGCCCTTAATGGAACAGTCAGACTAGTAGGGAAGATAAACATGAAATAAATTATCACACAAATAACTATGATTATTATGTTACTGATACTTTGAAGGAAAATTACTTGTGACAAGCATCACAGAAGTAACTTTCACATTTATCTATGAAATGGACCTTGTGGTTATTATTAAAGACAGAATACAAAGCTTGGAATGGGCCATTAGTCTGACTTCATAGCATTTCTCCTCAGTTCTTGGTATTCTTTATTGCTATTTTTGCATGTACTTCTTTTTCAAAGTTTTCATGAAAATGAAAATTTTATATTTTTTGTATAATTCGATCAGTGAATATTTATCAAGTACTTCTCATATGCTTAGAATATAGGGGAATCCAGATAATGTATAAAATATGGTCCATATTGTCAGGGACTTTTAAATCTAAGTCAAATGACCAAACCAATAGATGTCACACAGTAATGAATATTGCAGACCATGTTTTTGTTTTTATTTTTTTAATAATATTTTCTTGTGTTTAAGATGAAAGTTTATACAGTAAATTAGGTTCTCGTTTAACAGTCTCTACTCAAATTATTCAGTGATGCTGGTTACATTTTTTTTTTATTATTGTAGTTTAAATGAAGTTTACATTTTAAGTTATTCTCCCATACAAAAATTTATACATACATTGTTATGTGACCCTGATTGCTCTCCCCATACTGTGACAGCACACTCCTCCTTTCCACCCGATTCCCCATGTCCATTCAGCCAGCTCCTAACCCTCTCTGCCTTCCCATCTCACCTCCAGACAGAAGCTGCCCATTTAGTCTCTTGTGTCTACTTGAGCTAAGAGGCACACTCCTCACGAGTATCACTTTATGTCCCACAGTCCAGTCCAATCCCTGTCTGAAGAGGTGGCCTTGGAAATTGTTTTAGTTCTGGGCTGATAGAGAATCCAGGGGCCATGCTTTCCGGGGTTCCTTCAGTCACAGTCAGACCATTAAGTCTGGTCGTACTAGAATTTGAGTCCTGCACTCCACCTTTCTCCTGCTCCATCAGGGACTTTCTGTTGTGTTCCCTGTCAGGGCGGTCATTGGTGGTAGCAGGCACCATCTAGTTCTTCTGGTCTCAGGCTGATGAAGTTTCTGGTTTATGTGGCCCTTTCCGTCTCTTGGGCTAATACTTTCCTTGTTTCTTTGGTGTTCTTCATTCTACTTTACTGCAGGTGGGTTGGGACCAATTGATGCATCTTAGATGGCTGCTTGCAAGCTTTTAAGACCCTAGACGCCACTTACCAAAGTAGGATGCAGAACATTTTCTTAATAAGCTTTGTTATGCCAGTTGACCTAGATGTCCCCTGAAAGCATGGTCCCCAGACCCCCACCCCTGCTGTTCTATCCCTCAAAGTGTTTGGTTGTATTCAGGAAACTTCTTAGCTTTGGTTTTATCCGGTTGTGCTGACTTCCCCTGTAGTGTGTGCTGTCCTTCCCTTCACCTAAGATAATTCTTATCTACTATCTAGTTAGTAAATAACCGTTACTCTCCCTCCCCTCCCTTGTAACCATCAAAGGATGTTTTCTTCTGTGCTTAAACCTTTTCTAGAGTTCTTATAATAGTGGTCTTATATGTGACTTACATGTGACTGACTAAATTCACTTAACATAATGAGTTCCTGCTTCCTGCATGTTATGAGATGTTTCATGGCTTCATCGTTGTTCTTTATCATTGCATAGTATTCCATTGTGTGGATATACCATAATTTGTTTATCCATTTGTCCGTTGATGGGCATCTAGGTTGTTTCCATCTTTTTGCTATTGTGAGCAGTGCTGGCAATGAACATAGGTGTGCATAATCTTTATTTGTGTGACAGCTCTTATTTCTCTAGGATATATTGATGTTGGTTACATTTTTCACAGTGTGTCATTACTCTTAACAACCGTTCTGGTTGTACCATTTCCAGTGGTCTAGTTTCCACCAGAAACCCTGATGGCCTAGTGGTTAAGAGTTCAGCTGCATACCAGAAGATCGGCAGTTCAGATCTACCAGCTGCTCCTTGGAAACTCTATGGGGCAGTTCTGCTCTGTCCTGTAGGGTCACTATGAGTCGGAATCGACTCGATGGCAACGGGTTTGGTTTTTGTTTGTTTCCCTACCCCCTTGCCTGCTCATCTTTGCTTTAGAGTAATTTTGACCTTTTAGACGATGTTTTTTAAGGTGCTCGTTACTCTCAGGTGATAGTCTTTATATTGTGAGCTAATCTGTTATTTAGCTAAAAGGCAACCTCCAGGGATATTTCAGGGTGATAGTCTCTGGGGGGTTCTCTAATCTCAACCAGTCCAGTAAGTCTGGACTTTCTAAGAATTTGACTTCTGTTCCACCTTTTTTCCGTTCTGTCAGGATCTATCTATTGTGGCCCTTATTAGAACGATCGTAGTGGTAGCAGGCACTGTCTAGTTCTTTTGGTCTCAGGGTAGATGAGGCCATGGTTCATGTAGACTACTAGTCCTGTGGACAACTTCTCTGAGTCTTTGGTTTCCTTCTTTCTCTCTTGTTCCAGACAAGTTGAGACCAATGGTTGTAATTGCAGACCATTCTTAAGTATTTAAGTGATAGGTTGTGATATTTAGATTATGTATTGTAGAAAGAGAAGAGGGAGATCACTGAACATCTGGAATAATGAGTGAAGGCTTCATAGAAAACATGGAAACCTGAATTAGACTTTGAATGATGTCTTAAATTTACATATGTGGAGGGAGAAAAAGTGGACACTTCATGTGCTTGTGCTTTCGATGATACTGAATTTTCTCGACTCCTTGTTTTCTCTGTAACCATTTCTCCTAGGCTTCTTTGCTGTCAGAACTTTCTTTTTTCTTTTTCATGAATGTGTTTTGGAACTTGGCCCTCTTGTCTTATCTTTTCACTTAGTATCAAGAATCTTGTTTATCCTTAAACCAAAAAAACCCCCGAAGTTATCTTAAAACTAAACACTAGTTTAGCTCAATTAGTAAGAAAGGTCTGCCTTGAGCATTGTGCTCTTTTAAGATCTATATGCGATCAGATTGACAACAGCAGCTAAAAAAATTAGATATGAAGCTTAGGGGGCAGTGAGTTTACGTTAATGAGGGAGAAGCAACTCAGTAAAGGAGAGTGAGACTGATTGCATAACTGGAAGGATGTAATCAATGTCACTGCATTGTACACGTAGAAATTGTTGAATTAGTATATGTTCTGTGTATATTCTCAACAACAACAAAAATAAAATAATTTACGTTTAAAAATAATCATGTGTATATAAATGTCCCCAGATTTATGTCTGACTCTGATTCTTCTCTTGAGCTTCAGAGCCACATTTGCCATCACCTGTATATCCCCCAGAGCCCCTCAAAGTGAACATATGCAAAGTGGGAATAATTCGTTTTCCTGTCCCAGACCACCTCTTTTTTTCTCAAGTACTTTAATTATAATGTGGTTGTCATTTTTTCAGTCACTTAAACTGGAAATTTTCAAGTCATTCTAGTTTCTCCGTCTCCCTCACCCACACATCCAGCCCTGTCCTTTCTGCCTCAGAAATGTATATCGTAGGGTAAGGTATGTAGCAAAAAGCAGTCTGATTAACATAGTTTTTTGCCTTCTGAAAGAATATAGAGCGATATTTTCCGGTGTTGAAAAGGAAGGCAAACCTTCTGAGACAGAATGAAGTGCAGAGGAAACCAGTTGGAGTTCTCAAGAGACCTAACCAGTTAAACAGAAAGTGAGTACTCAAAGTACAAGACAATAATATGTTATCCTGCATAAAGATACACTTCTTGCAGTAAGTGTTGAGAGAAATGAGTTTACACTGATTTCTCCTAGTTATCTGGTCATTTTCAAGACAGCTATTTGGGATGACTGTATGAAATCCAGCATGAAAGCACTTAAGTAATAGCTTCTTTTTTTCTTAGTCCCAGAGTTATTGATAGCTTTAACTAATTATGAAACTTTCTAAAGCATCAGTCTGCTGCTTTGGCTCTCTTGCTATATAGAGTAAAATAGCAGAAGCTGATTGTTCTGGTAAAAATCCTAACACCTCAGCCAGAATTACTCAAAATTGGGAATTCTGAAAGCTGAATTTATTATTTAATCTTGATAATTCTTAATAGAACACTTAATCACAATGCATGTTATTTATGGAAAAAACAAACTAGGAAGAATTCTACATGGATGCTTGTTAAGCTGAAATTTTTTTATATTAAATTGGAAGGCATAATGAACGTTTAAAAATTACTACCTATTGGGGTTATAGTCCTCTATAAGGATAAAGCAGGCTGAAAAGAAGCTGCTGAGCTGCTGAGTTTCTTTATTTCATTTTCAAGTACCATTTATTCATCTCTTAAAGAAGATAATTCAGAATAAAACCTGGAATGAGGTCTTTTTATAAATAGAATGACTAGAATTAAAGTTTTACTTAACCATTATATCTTTTTCTTTTAGGAATCATTTGGTGTAATACCTTTTGGAAAAGGGAAACTTCTTAAATAAGAACCTGTTATTTACATGAGACTACATGTTAATTGGGTCACCTAGGGAAATTTTGCATTTGAACCTCTGTAAGGCTGGAAGTAAGATTAGGTAACCTGTTAAGCACTTACTTACATAGTAGATAAATATGGAATTCTGTTTTCTTGCATTTTACCAACTTCCTATAAAAACCAGATAGGAGTTGGTAAAAGTCAAGTCAAACATAATTTATGAAGAGTGCATTGTTCTGTGCATGAAAGAACACGAAGTGGAAAAGTATAAGTTTCACTGTGATTTATGTTAATATATAAAGGTTTTGTAAGTGAAGAAGGATGAGAAAGCTGGAGAAGATTTTTCTTTTTAAGATTTTCTCTTTGGTTTTTGGTTTTCAGTAGTGACAATGATGTGCCTAGATGTGATTTTCTCTTGGTAGTTCAATGGTAGCTTTTTCGCCTTCTGTGCAGGAGACCTGGGTTTGATTCCCAGCCAGTGCACCTCATGCACAGCCACCGCCTGTCTGTCAGTGCAGACTTGCGTGTCGCTGTGATGCTGAACAGGTTTCCGCAGAGCTTCCAGACAAAGATGGACTAGGAAGAAGGGTCTGGCTGTCTACTTCCAGAAAATCAGCCAATGAAAACTCTATAGATCACAACAGTCTGATCTGCAGTCAATCATGGGGATGGCGTAGGAACATTCCATTGTGTGTGGGGTCGCCATGAGTTGGGGGCTGACTTGATGGCAGCTAACAACAACAATCCTATAAGTTGATGTCTTTCACCAAATTTAGAAAATAGCATTAATAATGTTATTTTTAATGTCTTCACTCTATATGTTCAAGTATTAGAGAGGTGAGTATTTGGGAGATAAATTAGTTCAAAATTAACCAGGTTGTTGTGTAAAAAGCTACAGAGAGAGGCACTTCTAAATCAAATCTCAATAGCTTCATGTAAATAAAGAAATAATTCAGAGTCATCTTAAATTTAGTGCACCTTAAATTTTCAGCCTATGAATTTAACAGTTTTTGCTTATTTTTTTCTCAAGATGTTTTTAAGTTGTCTATGAAGTATGTATCTCAGATTATTCATGGTATATGTGATTTTGTTGCAGAAGTAACATTCCAGCCAATTTTACCAGGAGTGGAAATAAATTAAGCCATCAGAAAGACATTCGTCAGGCAACTTTTCTTTTCAGAAGAGGCCTGAAGGTATAAAAACACATTGGTGGTGTTTTCATTTTACTCAAAGAATCGTGAACCTTTAGCAACACTCAGTCATAGGCATGGCCCATGGTTGTGGTAGGGGTTGGGTTTGCGGTGAAAACATCTTAGATTAGCTCTTTTGTTAATTTTTCCTATTTTCTGTCTTACTTTGTTTGTCTCAATAGCAGCATTTTATAAGCATTTAATTGTTATTTAGGAATAAACTTGTATTTGCCACTTATTCTAATACAGGAACCCTGATAGAGAGATGTTGTCAAAATAGGCACACTCCCTTTCCTGCGTTCATGCACACACCACACTGGGTTATAAAGTTGTAGAGCAGGATATAGCTCTTTGGATTCAAAGCTTTTGCTTTCTCTGGGATCCTTCTCCTTTTTTTTTTTTCCTCTTTAGGTTCAGGCCCAGTTGAACACAGAACAACTGCTAGACGACGTAGTAGCAAAGAGAACTCGTCAGTAAGTTTCAATTTGTTTTAAAAAATGTCATTTCAAAAATCCCAAGTATTAACTGCCCAAATTATCATGTGCCACGTTCTAAAAGAAATTAAATGGGACCCAAAGTAAATTAACCAGTGACCATGAAATAAATCCTTTCTTTTCACACCCAGGATTCTGATTTATTATATCATGTTGGGGTCCAGGTATTTATATTTCTTAAAAGCCAAGAAAAAGTTAATGACTACTTTGAAAATGCATGTTTTTATATGGAATATATTAGAGGAGTTATAAACTTCCATTTTAATGAAATTTTGGGGTTTTTTTTGAAACTAGATGGCGGACTTCCACCACAAATGGAGGGATTTTGACGGTATCCATTGACAATCCTGGAGCAGTTCAATGCCCAGTGTAAGTCTTTTCTTTGTTTTTACAAAAATTATAATCTCTCAGTATATAAGATAATAGAAGAGTATTGGGTTTCTGCTCAGAGTATGATGTCCAAGTTAGGTACACTGAGATGCAAGGATAAAAGCAATACTTGTAAAAAAAAATTTTAAAAAGTAATACTCATGGTACAAAAGAAATAGTATAGAATAGTATAAAGCTAAAAGTTCCCTTTGTTCCTGGTTCTGCAGCCCCAAAGTAACCACTTTTAAGAATTTCTTCCATATTTAGAAAAAAAAAGTTTCTTTGTATGTATAATAATATATGGAGTCCCGGTGGCACAGTGGTTAAGTGCTCAGCTGCCAACCGAAAGGTTAGCGGTTCAAACCTGCCAGTTGCTCTGTGGGAGAAAGATGTGACAGCCTGCTTCCGTAAAGATTTACAGCCTTGGAAACCCTATGGGACCGTTCTACCCTGTCCTATAGGGTCACTGTAAGCTGGAGTTGACTCGATGGCAGTGGGTTTTTTTTTTTTTTTTTGACAACGATATATGTATATAAAGCAATAAATAGAATAATACTATACATACTTGCTTCCTTCTCCTTTGCTCCCCCAGTATATTTTGGACAACTTTACGTTTCAGAACATACAGATACACCTTTTATGAGTATACTTCATAGTGTATTCTTTGTATCTAGATGAGCTTAATTTAATTACCCATTTTATTATATTTATTGCATATAAACGTTCTGAGTTTATAGATTTTTTTTTTTTTACCTATCCAACCATCTCAATGATTGAAATAAAAAGAGTATAGGATGGGTGTCTTACAACTTCAGAGGTTGCTTTATTTTAGTGGATGATCAGGGCTTGGAAATCATAATCATTCCAAATTGTTGAAAAGTTCTTAAAGAGGTATTCTGTAAGCAGTTATAAATGTTAGTCTCTAAAGTCCTCAATCAACAGCCAGGTCCTTTTTTTTTCTTTTTGAGAACACAAATTTATTTGAACAGGTGTACAAGTCAAGATGTCATAAGTACCAAATGATCTGTTTTTCTTACTTTAATTGTTATGCTGGTCTGTTTTAATTTTAATTTTGTTTTAATAGAACTCAGAAACCACGATTAACTCGTACCTCTGTACCCTCATTCTTGGCAAAACGGGAGCCATCTGATGTAAAGAAAGTTCCTAAAGGTGTCCCCCTGCAATTTGACATAAATAGTGTTGGAAAACAGGTAAGTTTTTTTCTTTGTATTTTTTGGGCCATTCACTGAGAGTATTTTAATTAATAAAACAATTATTTTAGAATGAATTGAATAGGGTATACTAGGCAACATGCCTAATAACATTTGGCAGTTAGGGAAAGGGGAAGAGAAGGCAGTTTCTCATCCTTTTCTGATTGTTTGGGTCCCATTTCTCCGTGGAGCTGAGCTCGCTACCTTTTTTCTCTAAACTTTTTCAATCATGGTTTATTCAAGGAATAGCCCTGGAAGCTGGGGTTTAAAGGGTAGTGGAGAACCTTGATATGTGGGATGGGGGGAGGGTGGATCTTGCTTTGTTCCACGGTATGTTTGTTGTTCCCTAAATAACAGACTTTTCCTTTCTGAATAGGTTTTTTTGGCCTGTTGAGTAATAGAAAGAAAGGGAAAAATACCACTTAACAGCTTTGTCTGTCATATTTGCACAAAAAAATTGCTAACCTGCTATTTGCTACTAAAGCATGCATGTTTTAGCACTGACTACCTGTTTCTGTATTTGAAATATACTAGATTGACTCATTCTTGTTGGAAGGATTCAAAGCATTGCCCCAGTACATTTGGTAGCTGAGAGAGGAAGGAAAATCTTACTTGTAGGTTCTCCTTTTACTTTCTGGTAAACATTTTAAATTTGAAATATATCTTGACATGGGAGAGATCTGCCCAGGATTTATAGCCCTTAATTTGATGCAACAATGGGCTCAAGGATAACAACGATCCTGAGGATGGCGCAGGACTGGGCAGTGTTTCGTTCTGTTGTACATAGGGTCCCTGTGTGTCAGAACCAACTCAGCGGCACCTAACAACAACAACAATTTGATGCTATATTCACCACATCATACCTCAGGTGGTTTGGGATGACTTTGTAAATAGGATAAAGTTTTGAATGAGCTGGTAAAGAGGAAAGAACTCTGGTGTGGGAACAAGAACTACCTGAATTCTAGTTCTGACTTTGCCTTTCTTTAACTCTGTGACCATGATGAAATCTGTTTCCTTTCTAGATTTTTAGTTCCTTCATCTATAAAATGAAAGGGATAGATGTAGGTAAATAACCTTTAAGGTTCTTTCCAGCTTTAAAAATCTTGTTTTCAGTTGCACTTAAGCAAGATAAAAATACAGTAGGAATTCTTTTAAAATTTACACTGCCCAGTTTTCTTTTCATTCTTTTAAAAATTTCTTTTTCTCTTGAAAAGTATTTAATTTTGAATTCCAATTTATTTTATTTATTTTTACTGGTGCCTTTTGTGTTCCTTTTGGAGCCTTGGTGGCGCAGTGGTTAAGAGCTACAGCTGCTAACCAAAAGGTCAGCATTTCGAATCCACTAGCCACTCTTTGGAAACCCTACAGGGCGGTTCTACTCGCCCCCGTAGGGTCCTTAGGGTCCTTAGGAATCGGAATCGACTTGATAGCAACATGTTTGGTTTTTTGGTTTTGTGTTCCTTTTAAGAAATTTTTGCTAAACTCATAGTCATAAAGACTTTCTCCTTTGTTTTGTTCTAGAAGTTTTATACTTTTAGCTCTTGCATTTAGGTTTATGATCCATTTCACATTAATTTTTGGCTAAGGTATGGGGGTAAGGATTAAGGTTCATTATTTTGTATATAGCTCTTCACTTGTTCCAGTACCATTTGCTGAAAAGGAGTAGAGTTGCTAGGCCGTCTGGTAACTCTATGTTAATTTTTGAGGAACTGCCAGAGGGTTTTCCTAAGTGGCTGCACAATTTTACATTCCCACCAGCAGTGTATGAGTGTTCCAAATTTCCCTATATCCTCGCCAACACTGGTTATTATCTGTTGTGTGATTATAGCCATCCAAGTGGGTGTGAAGTGGTATCTTACATGGGTTTTGACAATTGATTTTTGTGTTAACCTTGTATCTTGTGACCTTGGAAGCAGCCGTGTCATTCTCCAGACTCCTTTTTCCAATCTTTAAGCCTTTTGTTTCTTTCTTGCCTTACGGTAATGACTAGGGCCTCCAGTACCAGTCTTGAGTAGGAGTGATAAGAGCATGTATCCTTACCTTGTTCCCGAGCTTAAGAAAAAACCATTAAATGTTTCACCATTTATTGTTTATGGTGAAAGGGACCTCCAAACACCTACTGCTAACATTTTGAGGGAGTTCCTTTCTACTCCTAATTTGCTGAGAATTTTTATCATGAATGGGTGTTGGATTTTGTCACATGCTCCTTTTTTTTTTTGCATCCATTGAAATAAGAACCTATAGAATTGAAGATAGGAAGTGTTGACAGAAATTTGACCAGATTTATTTTGCTTATTTTTATTTTGTCACTGTTGTTAACTTTCCTTTCAGAAATGAAATATCATTTGGGTGTTCTTGTTTGTTCATAATCAAAAACCTTGATAGAGTTATCACCAAGAGTTGGTTGCAGTGTTTTCACAGCCTGAAATGATTCAGATAGCGGAGGCATCTTTGGTGTATGACTTATAAGCATTATAGTGTATGTGTGTAAAGTATATAGTGTATAATATAGGCATTATGTTGGTTAGAGGATGTGGATTCTGAGTCAGACTGCTTGGCTTAAATTCTGGAGGTGCTATTAGACAAGTTAACTTTTCTAAACTTCTCTAACTTCACCTGTTTCATAAGGTTTTTACTAAGATTAAATAAGATCATACACATAAATATTCAGGAAATGTTAACTATTGTTACTGTTAATTACTATTATGATCACATTATTGTTCCAAAGCAAATATGGCTTACAATCAAGTTGTTAATTGGTTTTTTTTTTTTTTCTTTTTTCTAGACAGGGATGACTTTGAATGAGCGGTTTGGGATTCTGAAGGAACAAAGAGCCACTCTCACATTCAACAAAGGAGGAAGCCGCTTTGTAACCGTGGGATAGATCCCATGTCGAGGGGACTTTTGAGTGACAACTCTGTTTGAAAAGTTGAATTGCTTGAAGAGCTTGTCACAGAAATTTAAGAAACTTTATTTGAAAATATTCACAAGGATAAATAACTCATTATTTTTATTTTTGAAGTTTTTTTTTTAAAACATGTATAAAATAATGCCCTGAAAGAGTAACAGGGAATATAGCTATTTGTTCTAAAGATTTCATGGCTGCCCAGACAGAGCACTTCTTTATTTGACTTCTTTGGTTCCTCATGCAGCAAAAGGAAGGCAGAAAGATAGAAATTGATTATTTTTACGATAGTGGTATTTAGTATCTCATCTCCTTTGCCCATTTTTTAGACTTTGCCATGGTAAATCTTGGCCTTCAGAAATATGAGTAAATCTGTTTTGTTGCTGTCACTTACCCTTTAATAGGGTTGACTTAATAAGTACAGTTGCCTTTTCTTCAGTGGAGATATTAAAAAAAAAATTCATTAGGATTCCTGTTTTGGATTTTAAGATTTATGGCGTATCCGGAACTAATTTTTCAGATAATGTTAGGTTAATCCCCTAGATCTGTTAAGTCTTAGTGATGAACTTTTAACAAGAAATGTGACTCTAGGCAGTAGTCTCAGTTTAAACTGTTGGTATTTGGTGTCTGTAAATGTATGTTTACAAAGTTACCAGATAGATCTTTGGAGGAGAATGTCCAGTGTAAAAACCTGACAGTTTGTTTAGTAAATGAGGAAAACATGAGTGGGAGTAGCAGGTTGAAGAAGAGGTAACTGAGGTGGAAAACTTCAAAACCCAGGTTATAGGTACACTCTTTGGATATAGTGTAGCCTTGAGTCTAGTACCCACAAAAAATTCTTCAAATGATATTTAAAAGAATTACAATTATTAGATTGAATCCCTTAGATATTTTCATAGTAAAATTAATAGCCATAACATACTATGCTTTCTTCTTCTTCAAATAGTTAAATTTTAATAATCTTTTAAGCTTGCCAAATTAAACACTACACAACTTCAAAAACAGAACTAGTTTACGTCAGAAAGAAGAAAAATGCAAAAGTGATAATAAGTTACATTGTAAGCTTGTTTTATACCTCTCTGATTTATTTTATGGTATAAAGTTGCATTTATGGGGAGAAAGGCACCCTCCTGGGAGGAGTGTGAGCAGTTAGTCTATTGTGCCAAGATAGTGCTGAGTCCTCAGATAGTTGTATACTATAAGTTACAGTAAAATGCCAAAATGCAGTAACATATTCCAGCTACAAGTTACAAGTGTGGTCATTTTGAAGCTTGACCTTTTGGTTTACTATAATGTCAAAACTTCTAAGTAGGCATTAGTTTCTTTACAGTACATTGTTATTGTTGACTTTTCCTGTTAACAAAACATTAAGTTACCGCTCTTGCCTGCCCTGCACTATGTACTAGACTTCATTGTGGTCTCTCATGCTCCTTGGGTTACTTGTTGGGTTATTAAGAAGGTAACCTGGAAAGCTATCAGTAACAGTTTGCTTATACCAAAGAATTAAATCTGATCCTAAATATTGATATTTTACCAGTACTTCTACTGATACGGAATTATGGGAAGCCAGTCACAAAATTTGAAAATAAACTCTAGTCTCTCCTTAGCTGTTTTATGCTTTTCATTGAGGTCAAGGACCCATTGCAAAACATTTTTGCAAGTATGAATGCTTATATTTGATCCATAAACACTATATTTTAGACTGGTTTAGAGGTAGCTTATTTTAAAGCAAAGGAAAAACAACTGAGAATGAGTTTACTGTCTTTAGAACAATTTGTGAAAATATGTTGTAAAGGTGGTTTTCATTTTGAGTTATTTTAAATATTATTATATAGAGCTATTATTAATGCCATTTTTTTTAAACTTTAAAAATTGCCCCAAATATTGACATTGAGTGCATCAAACAACATGTCTTTGGTATATTAAACTTTTGCTCTTTGTGCATCTGTAATTTAATTTTCTTTTTAAATATAAAATTTTACCTTTGGTAAACTAAATTAAAACTCTTGAGTGCTAATATGTTGTATATATACAAAAGAGTATGTTTGGTTGGAGGGAAAATTTCCATTGTTGGAATTTTAGCAGCTAATGTGCTTGTAGTCATCCTTTTTCAGTTCTTAATGTTTTGTGTTGTTCTTTTGTTTTGTTTTAAATAGGATGCAACTTAAAATTTCCTTTGCATCAAGGTGTATGCAAAACGTTGATGCAGTGCATCACAAAATGAAAGTTTGTATTTAACGAGGAGGTGCTTTACACTGTACTTTTTGGAGAAGTTACATTTAGATCTGTTCTGAAGCTGTTCACTTTTAAAAAATAAAATGTTACAGGTTTTTACATGATTTATTCTTAGCTATACAGATTGTGGTTTTTAGATTGTTGTATGTTGTAAGGAACTTGGTAGTGATTATTAAGTTTATATTTATAATTTTTAAGGGTTTAAAAAGTTACCTACCAATTGAATTGGCAGATCAGTCTAGAGTTTCGTATTGGCATCTCTCAGAGTACCTTTTGACTATTTCATTTATAGCTCTACCATGAAGTAGTCAGGAGTTGAAAAAGAATTAATTTACTTACAGTGCCCGATATTAGAGATAATGTGCTTTAGAGATTATTGAGCTCAACCACGCATTTTACATCTTAGTAAAGTGAGGCGCTCAGTGTTTTCAAGACTTGTGTGTGCAGAGTCACTTTTTGAGCCTAGATCTTCTGATTCTCAGTTCCTTGTACACTCCTGTGAATTGAACACCCACAGAAAATAGTGTTAGATTCCACTGAAGTAGAAATAATAACTTTATTTTCTGATTTTTATTTTAATCCTACAAACTAAAAGAACCAGTAAAATTTCCCCTCTATTCAAGGTTACAATATTCTTTATTTAGGTTCAGTATGAGCTCTTGTGTTGGGAAGTTCCCAAAGGCAAGGAGGAATAATACTAGCATGTGTCCGATGTTGCATGAAAATTTCTTACTATTCAAATTAAAGCTGCAATGGTATGTGGCTTGGCAGATATCTAAGAATTACTAATAGCCATGCTTTAGTATTTTTAGCATGGTAAGTAAATCTACTCTTCAAGTGATAATTATGAGACTTCATTATTTTGGTATTCAAGTTAGGTAGAGTGAATTGAAAAGGCCAATGTTCTTAATCAGACATTATGCATTTTTTCCTAGTATGCATAATAAACCACCACAATTTTAATTATAAGCAAATCATAAACTACTACTAAGTGTGAAGGAACATACTTCATTGCTCAATGGTTTTTTTTTTCTTTTTTTTTTAGAATAGGTATGTATATCATTTTGTGTCAGTAGGCTCATAATTCACACAACATACACAGTTTCAGGGTAACTTGTTCTGATTTATTTTTACTATGAGGAGATAAGAGTGAGAAAAAACTAGCAGACTTGGTACTACAGAGAATAAATACCATACATTTTGAATGCAGGCAGATTAGGGCAGAAAATGACTTCGTTTCTGATCAGGATACTTGGACTTTCATCAGAATTACATGATTATTTGGTTTTTGCCACTGTAAAAAAACAAAAAAAAAAACATGATTTAAGCTTCCCTTAAAGAGAGTTCCTTTGGGATATATCAGTTTGGAATTAGTCTTCTCTCCTTTTTAAAATGATACTTCAATAAACCCCAGTTTACAACAAGAATGTTGGACTATTGTGGACCCTTAATAGGGATTTAAAGATTTGCTTGTATAAAAATGACATGGGGTGGCATCTGACCTTCTCTAACTTGATGAGTGGAAGGAGAATGAAGATCAGCAGCCCAAGGCTGATTCCTATGAGGCGGAGGTCAGACATGCTTCCACCCTCCAACCTTTTCACTAGTTCTGACACCGTCACTCTCTACTTTTGAGTTTGATAATTAATTGCAGTGGTCACAGAACTTACAGACTACTCACAATCATGGGGTTTATTAGGAAAGTAACAGGTTACAATTCAGGTTCAGGAACGCTCAGGATACAGTTCTTCCATTAGGACAACCTCTTCTCACTTGTGCCACAGGCTGGTCTCTCTTTGGACCCTTGGCCTCTGCCCTGCTCAGCTAAGTGTTTACAAAGCTCTTTTAGCTCTGCCGATATGCCCAGAGGCAACAAGCCTCCTGACCAAAGGTGCTCAGCTTTTGCTTTCCACGTGCCAGGAAGCCCACTGAGCAATCTCCTGCCCGTCTAAGGTCTACTGTTGGTCTCCTGGTTCTGCTGCTGCTATTTCTCTGCCGTGTCCAGTGTTACAGCGCTGTCTCTCTCCTGGTTCCAGGAGCTTCTCAGCGCAGGGATTCCTGGCCCTTTGGGACATGTTCCATTCCTGGCTCTTCTTGGTGGTGGTGTTACCCTCCCTTCCCGCCTCAGATGGCTCATTTTAAGCCTAGGGGAATGGCAAAACTGAGCAATCCACTTGTTAGGGTTCCATATACCTTATTTGCGTAGTCCCACTCAATGTGTATGAGCCACAAAGACTGGCTAGAAGGACCATATTAAGTAATTCCTTACATCACAGCTTTTAAAGTGTAGATTCCAGTGTCTTGGTTTTTTCTTCTGCCGTTAAACAGTTTATTTTCTATCTGAAATCAATCCGGCAAAAAAGCTTGATAAAGCAAGCAAATGGGATACCATTCCGAGACTTGTTCAGAATGTATACAGATGAGGTTTACCAATGTTTGTGAAAGAGCTATTGAAATCTGTATCAAACTTTTGCCTCTGGTGTTGAATGAGTTAACTTTCAGCCTGTAAAATAAACAGAAGCAGAGAAGCTCACTGTTACAAATTTCTAACACTGAATAACCCTCACTGCCTGTTTTTTTCAGCTCCTGCTTCCAGACCACAGAGCAGTAGTGGAATAAGTTATAGGTTCCTAGAGCCCTGTTGTTCACAGCCTTTTTGAAACTTTCTCATCACTTCCTTTATTCATCACTAAACTCGTTGCTGCTGTTGTTGTTAGGTGCCATTGAGTTGGTTCTGACTCGTAGCAACCATATGTACAATGGAACGAAACACTGCCTGGTCCTGCTCTATCTTCACAATCATTACGCTTGAGCCCATTGTTGCAGCCACTGTATCAATCATCTTGTTGAGGGTCTTCCTCCTTTTTGCTGACCCTCTACCAAGCATGATGTCCTTCTTTAGGGACTGGTCCCTCCTGATAACATGACCAAAGTATGTGAAGACAAAGTCTCGCCATCTTCGTTTCTAAGGGGCATTCTGGCTGTACTTCTTCCAAGACAGATTTGTCTGTTCTTCTGGCATTCCGTGGTATATTCAATATTCTTCGCCAATACAATAATTCAAAATCATCGATTCTTCAGTCTTCCTTATTGTCCAGCTTTCACATGCATATGAGGCTGAGCTCCTCCCAAAGTCTCCATTCCCTATACTTCAGTCTCACAGGATGATGTTGTCACCTACTTTATGGAAAAGATGGAGGGACTAGGGTGAGAATTCCCTCATATTCTGTAAATAAACCTCAAATCATTAGAAGTCTCAGGAAGAGTTTCTCTAGTGTAAAAGTAACCCCTCAGTCTAGCTTTCTTTCCATCCTTTCTTTATCTAGAACTTGTTCTCACAAAGTGGTATAGCATCTTCATTTTTCCTCCTATCCACGGTCTTCTTTCGGCCTTCAAATATCTACAGACTTACGCACCCTTTTCTCCTTAAAAATTATAATACTTTTTTCTCTTGTTTTCCTCCCAACCTTCTCTGCTGTGTTAGTACATACCCTGTCTTCTGTCTCTGCTTCTTTCTACTCATCCTTACTACTTTTTTTTTTTTAATTATTACTGAGTTTTTGGTGAACGTTTATAGGGCAAGTTAGGTTCCCATTTGACAATTTCTACACAAATTGTTCAGTGACATTAGTTACATCTACCACAATGTGTCAGCATTCTATTTGTGTTCTGTTTTTTCCATTTCCAGTACTCTAGTTTTCCTGCCCCCTTATCTCCTCATCTTTGTTTTTGGGTAATTGTTGACCTTTTGGTCTCATACAGATGGTTTTTAAGTAGAGCACTGATCTTAACGGGTAACATCGTTTATTTTGTGTGCCACTCTGCTATTTCGCTAAAAGGTGATCTCAGGGAATAGGTTTGGTTCTAGGTTTAAAGAGTGTCTCAGGGCTATAGTCTCAGGGAGTCTTCCGTTCTCTACTGTTCCAGTTTGCCTGGATTATATATATATGTGTGTGTGTATGTGTGTGTGTGTGTGTGTATACATAGGTATGTGTATATATACATATAAAAGAATTTGAGTTCTCCATATTTTTCTCCCATTTGGGACCAACTGTTGTGACCCCGGTCAGAACAGTCAGTGGTGGTAGCTAGGCACCATCTAGTTCTTCTGGTCTCAGGTTAGATGAGCTTGTGGCTTGTGTAGAGTTGTTTCTTCTCTGAGCTTTTGGTGCTTTCTTACTATTTTGCTCCTGGTGAGTTGAGACCCATAATTGTGTCTTAGATGACCACTTGCAAACTTCTAAGACCCCAGACACTACTCACTTCACTAGGTTGCAAAATCATGATTTTTGTGAACTCTTTTATGCCACTTGACTGAGTTGTCCCATGAGACTATGGTCCTAAGCCTTCAAACCCAGAAAGCCAATCTTGGAAGGTGTTTGGTTATGTTTGAGGAGTAGCCATATTTGTGTTTTCAATGAATATATGGTCCTGCACCCACATATTTGTATTTACACATACCTATAGATACTTCAGGGAGCCCTGGTAGCACAGTGGTCAAAGCTCTTGACTGCTAACCAAAAGATCGGCGGTCCAAATCCACCATCTGCTCTGCAGGAGAAGGATGTGGCAGTCTGCTTCCGTAAAGATTTACAGCCTTGGAAACACTATCAGGCAGTTCTGCTCTGTCCCATAGGGTTGCTATGAGTTGGAATCAACACGATAGCAGTAGGTGTAGGGTATAGATACTTCTATCTGTTCTCACCTATGTACACACCTGTACCTACCTCTATACCAGTTTGCCTGTACCCATCCATATGTGCTCAAACATATGTTTTTACTTTGTACTGTGCTCACTACATCCACATTCAGTGCTACTTTTCCCATCACCAAAAATAACAAGTCTCCACAGTATAAAGCATACGTCCCCCAACCCCCAACCACCAATGAACATTGCTCTCTATAGCTATTCTTGTCTTCTTATAAAAGAGGGATCATACAATATTTGTCCTTACATGCTTGACTTATTTCACGTAGCATTATGCCCTCCAGGTCCATACATGTTATGTTTTGCGAATTTATCATTGTACTTTTTGGTTGTGCAATACAATTGTCCCTTGGTATCCACGGGGGATTGGTTCCAGGTCCCCTTGGATACCAGGACCCCCACTCAAATCCCTTATATAAAATGGTGTGGTATTCACATATAACCTACACACATCCTCCTGTATACTTTAAAACATCTCTAGATTACTTATAATGCCTAATACAATGTAAAAGCTATGTAACTAGTTGTTATACAGTACTGTATTGTTTAGGTAATAATGACAAGACACGAGGTGAACAAAGCTCAAAGAACGAGTGCTGGAGAGAGACTGAGGATCCCTGAAATGGTGGGAGGCTACAGCAGGGTATGCCTGCACATCGTTTCATTTGCGTGGATTCAGTGTAGTGCTCGGCGCCTGGCAAATTCCAGTTTTGCTTTTTAGAACTCCCCCACCCCCCAAATATTTTCAATCTGTGAGCTTGGTTGAATCCGTGGATGCAGAACCTCCGGATACAGGAGGGCTGACTGTATTCCATTGTGTGTATGTAACACAATTTGCTTATCTATTCATCCATTGGTGGGCACTTTGGTTGTTTTCAGTTTATTTGCTATTGTGAATAAAGCAGCTATGAACATTGGTGTGCATATGTCTGTTCATGTCATTATTTTTAGGTGTCTGGGGTATATCCCTAGAAGTGGGATTGCTGGATCATAGGGTAGTTGTATTTCTAGTTTTTTGAGAAAGCGCCATACTGTTTTCCATAGTAGTTTTATAGTCCCACCATTTTACAGTCCCAGCAGCAATGGATGAGGGTTCCAATCTCCCCACATCCTCACCAACATTTATCATTTGTGTTTTTTATCAATGCCATTTTAACTGGGGTAAGATCATATCTCGTTGTCTTGATTTGCATCTCTCTAATGGTTAATGATCATGAACATCTTTTCATGTTTGCTGGCTGCTTGTATGTCCTCTTTGGTGAAGGTTCTATTCATGTCCTTTGCCCATATTTGTGATTGGGTTGTTTGTCTTTTTGTTGTTGAGTTGTTGCAGTTTTCTATAGATATTAGAAATGAGACCCTTATCAGATAAGTTGTTCCTGAAGATTTTTTTCCAAGTTTGCAGGTTGTCTATTTACTCTTTTTATAAAGTCTTTACATGAGTGTAAGTTTTTCATTTTTATGAGGTCCCATTTATCAATTTTGTCTTTTTCTATTCATGCAGTTGTTGTAATATTTATTATTCTATCGTTGCCAGGGTCTTCTGCCCAACCTGGGCAGCCCCTATGAGGTTCTTGCCTTCTACTGACCAAGAATGACCAGGAGAGGCTCAAGTCTTCCGCACGAACAAAGCTTTATTGAGCAAAAGTAGCTCACGAGTGGAGACAAAAAGGGACAAAACAACGCTAGCCTTTGTCTCCCCGAACAAAGGATTGGCTAGGGCTTATAAAGATTTTTGGACAGGAAAAGGCATCATCTATAT